AGCCACATCAGGAAAGTGAGTCATCCAGAGCATAATAGAGAGAAGGCAAAGGCAGTGTTCACTTCTTTAAAATGGTTTTTGTTCCATTTTTCTCTCGACACAAACATAACAAGACAGCACGCAAAAAATCCAGGAGCCTGGGCTTCCCTTATCAAATGGCAATGTCAAGGTAAGCTCATGCTAAGGCCTGTTTACTCTGTCCTGATTTGATCATTTCAAATTGGAATTTGTTTTTCCTGAGGCCCATTTTACCCACCTTCTGTTTCCCAGCTCCTGCATCTTGGAGCTTATTTTTTCTCCCCCTTGTTTAAATTAGTAAACCTTATCAAAGACCATCTGTCTACTGGATTTCAACAGAGGTTAAGTTACATTAGACTGTAATTAATGTTTGAGTACATATTGACACCGATTTAATTATGAAAACTGAAAGTTAAATAAAAATACTCAGTTTAATCTCTCCTGAAATCAGCCTCCTGTGAGGTTTTCGGGTTGGGAAGGGGTAGGGAGTTTCTCTGACCTAAATCAGTGGGAGGAACTGAGATCTTATCCCCCCAAAAGACCAGTTTCAGTCTTTGCTTTTCAATATGACAGCTTTCTCATTCTCAAGGAAGAAACCATCATGGGTAGTTTTCTGTTTTCAAAGACATGAACTAGAGCTGAGATACTTACCAATCAGTTGCAAAGCCATCACTTACTCTTCCTTTCCTACCCACCACCCAAAAAATGTACATAGACACAATGGTACTTTTGGAACTCAATATTAGAATACCTAATAAAGTCAAGCCTGAGCCTTCTTTCTAGGCAAAAGGTAGTTTTCTTGTATAAATTAGATACCTTGACCACATTAGGAATTTACTCAAAAAGATACAGCATTTAGCTATGGTCCTGAATAGATGTTATTTACCCATTTAACCCAAGATTGCTTAATTCTTAATACAGAAACTAGTAAGATCATATGTGAGCACTGCAGTAGTAGCTGTAGATAAGGCCACACCACCACACAAAATAGGGACTCCCTTTTCTTTAGCAGGCACCAGTAGTTGAACATGAGCAAGAGTCTCACGTTTTACATAAAAAGGGGGAGTTCCTCATGCCAGGCTGCCTCTAGTTTTTGTTGAACCCAGGCTGTTGTTATTTGATGTCGATTAGATTCCAGGAAAAACCAAAGTTGCAACATGTGCATAGCATGGAAGGAGAGAGAGAGAGAGAGAGAGAGAGAGAGAGAGAGAGAGAGAGAGAGAGAGAGAGAGAGAGAGAGAGAGAAAGAGAGAGAGAAGAAGAAGGAGGAGGAGGAGGAGGAGGAGGAGGAGGAGGAGGAGGGGGAGGAGGAAGAGGAGAAGGAGGAGGATCTTTACCTTAAACTTAAGGTATTCAAAAATCCATAGACCCTCCACTCCTCCCTGGTGTCTTCTGTCTACCAGAGCCAGTTAAGATTGCCGCATCTTGACTTGTCTTCTAACGTATCTCCACCAGGCAGAGCTCATGCCTGTGGCTGGAATGAAGATGTATGGGAAGATGACTATCCTGTTTTTTATTATTTTTACCTACTTGGCCAGTAATTAGATGTGGGGCCTCACCTTATACATTTTTGGCAACAAGAGGAGTCTCTTTGATATTCCTATTAATGGGGTATCTTTGAAGTCGGGCCAAGGTTTGGTCAAGGAACACTTCATGTGAGAAGTCTAGAAGGTGAAAAAAGCTTTGCCTAGCTCCTCATCACTGTTGTCTGCCTATTCAGGACTGAGCCCTTTCTAAAGGGACTGCAATTTCCTGTGTGTGATAGGTATGCATACTTTCTCCTTGCAGTGTTTTACTAGGACCAGAGAGTTAGAAACTGTGATGTGTGCTCCGTAGCTGTGTGAGGCTCAGTGAAGTTAAGCTATGCTCCTACACTGAGACTTGGACGTCTATGAGATCTCTACCACTTTTATGGGTGGCATCCACAGGGTGCTGAGGGTAAGATTATATCTCATTATAGTTTTGATTTGCATTTCCCTTATTGCTGCTGATGCTGGGTACTTTTCACTTATTGAAAGTCCATTTCCATGAGCAGTGTCTACTGAGATCACTCGCCCATGCTCTGGGTGCTGCTCCAGCATTTTCACTGTCAGATTTGGAGCCCCACATGTATTGCAGACCTTCAGTTTTTGCCAGATGAAGAACTGTAAGGCTTTCTGCTTTATGGTGTAGGCTGTCTCTTCATTCTTTTGGTTATTTCCAATGCTGTGATGAAAACTTTTTAGTCTGATGGAGACTCACTTGTCTATTCTTCATTCTATTCCTTGTACTTTTAAAATCATGTACAAAATTAAAAAAAAAAAATGTTGTCTGTACCAATGCCTTGAAGTATTTCGCTTGCATTTTCTCCTAGTAATTCCATAGTTTTAAGTCCTACATTTAGGTCTTTGAGTTAGAGTTGAATTTTATACAAGGTAAGGTATGGGGTCAAGTTTCAGCCTTCTGTACATGGAAATCCAGCACGATTTGTAGAAGAGCTTCTCCTTTCCCAACATTTGCTTTTGCTTTTGCTTTTGCCACCTTTGTTGAAAATCAGTTGACTATAGATAAATGGTTGCTGTGTTGGTTTGAGCGAGAATGACCCCCATAGGCTCATGTATTTGAATGATTGGTTCCCTGTTGGTGGAACCGTTTGGGAAGGATTAGAAGGTGTGGCCTTGTTGGAGGAAGTGTGTCACTGGAAGTGGTCTGTGAGGTTCAAAGGCCCATGCCATTCCCACTTATCTCTCTTTCTCTCTGCCTCATGTTTGTGGATCAGATGCAAGCTCTCAGCTACTGCTTCAGTGCCCTGCCTGCTGCCATGCTTCACACCATGAAGTCCCAAATTAAATGTTTTACTTAATAAGTTGTTTTGCTCATAGTGTCTCTTCACAGCAATCGAACAGTAACTAAGACAATTTCTTTCTAGGATTTTTAGGTCCCCATGTCTATTTTTTATGTGAGCATCCTGCTAGTTTTTCACTATGACTCCATTATGTCTTGAAATCACATATTGTGTTGCCTAGAGTGTTGTTCTTTTCCTTCAAAACTACTTTTACTATTGGGTCTTTTGTGTATTCATATAAATTTTAGGTTTCTTTTTCTTCCATTCTGTGAGTATGCATTGGAATATTTACAGAGATTTCATCAAATATTCAAACTAAGGAGTAGTGTGGATGCATTAACAATATTTTATAGTCCATGAACATAGATCTTTTAATTATTTTGTCTTCCACTTCTTTCATTGCTATTTTGTAATTTTTATTATAGAGAGTTTTCATTGACTTGAAAGGGATGATTTGAAAGGCGCAACCCACACATACCCATAATCACTCCACAGTGTTTATGTCCACATGCAAAATGAAGGCTTCCATCTTGAGCCATGACTTGGTTTGAAAAAAAGGTTGATCTAGACATAGGGAGCTAATGGTATACCACAGGAGAGACCAAAGAATTTTAGGAGCAATAAGGAGGTTAGTAAATGATAAGGCAGAAAACCTGGTTATTTGGAAGACAAGATAAATACAAAATGGAGTGTATATTAAGAGGTGTCTGATGTCCATAGTTCTCTCTGAAGTTCCTAAAGACCAATAAATTACTAATTATTATCATTACATTCTAGTTGAATTTGTCCATCAAAGGTGGTGATAGGATTTTAAAATGTTATTCTTGAAGCATACTTGCATGTTATAAAGTTGAGTGGCCACCCTGGTAGGAATCTCTACCTGGTGTTCTAGATAGACTCTGCTACTTGATTTTCTTTCAGTGACCAAGCATACTGCTTCCTGAGGCTCATGCTCCTTTTAAATGGATTCCACCGTTATGGGACACACACACACACACACACACACACACACACACACACACACACACACACCTTTCTTTTCTGATAATTCTCTTCTGTTCCTCCTCCCCTCTATTTCTGAACTTCTCCTGCCAACTCACTGTTTTTTTCCTGCCCTACCTGACCCATCATTTGTCACACAGCCACCAGACCTGCATTCAGCCTAAGTCACCAGCCTATGGCTTCCTATTATACTAATTACTGTGTGTAGCAAAGATTATTTTTTTTCTTCCTGCCAGATTCTTCTCAACCTTATTATTGTTCTAAAGCCATAAAACTGAAAACTGCATTTTTATGACTCCAAATGACCTTCAGAATTCCAGACTCCTACTTGACTATAATATTTTGGGTCATTAATTTCAGAGAAGATATTCTGATGTATAATTTTATTAAGTTTCTGAGGATTTTAATACTGTGTTTCTAAATATGATGAACTTCCTTCCACCAAATTTTAATTAGGGAGCATATTAAATCCTCAATTAATGCTTGCAGTAATGCATTTTTAATATCCAATAACATTTGATCAGGGCCCTTCCACAGGGAGGGGATGATATTATGGCTCCTTGGTTCTCATTGACCAATAGAACAGGCCTGTCTTCCTTTTGCCATTCTGAACTATCAGTCAGGAACACAATTTCACTCTTATTATGGCCTTTCCCCTGGAGTGAGAGGCCATTGTTCTGCCTCTGAGTGGTGTGTGGGAGAGTAGTGTGAATTTTCTAAACATGGCAGACATAAGCATAGGAAGGAACTTTTAAATCTATATGCTTTGAAGATACCTCTTTCCAACTATAATCCATTTCTCCATATGTAAGAGTAACATACTTAGTGCAGATATCTGCAAACTTCTCCCATAATACTCCAGGTAGTACCTGTTTTAGTCTGTAGGAGCCATTTGTCTCTGTCACAGACTACTGGTTCTGTCCCTGGGAAAGCAACATAGGCAGTATGCAAATGGGCAAAGGGACTGTACTCCAATAAAACTTGATTCATGAATACTGAAGCTTTAAATTCATATAATTTTATATGTTGCAAAATACCATTCCTCATTCTTATCACTAGATACTGGTAGCACATGTCTACAATCCCAACATTTGGGAAGCAGAGGCAGGAGGATGACAAGTGTAAGGCCAGCCTCAGCCACATAGTAATAACCTACCTTAAAATCAAGAGCTGTTGATATATCTCATGGCAGAGTATTTACCTGGCATGTGCTAGGGCCTAGGTTTCATTTCCAGTGCTGAAAAAAAAAAAGAAAAGGAAAGAAAAAAATGCATATCACCCAAGGCCAGATGAATTCAGTGCAGAACTCTACCATGTCTGCAAAGGAGACTACATTGATACTTCTCATTCAATCATTCTTTTCTGACATTTTATTTCTTGAGATTATAATATTCTTAACTCATGCTTTTGGCAACGCACACAATTTTCCAACCTCGTGTGTGTCTGTTGCTTTTTTTTTTTTTTTTTTTTTTTTTTTTCCTATTTTGACAAAATTCCATGACTGAGGCCACTTCTAGAAGAAAGGCTTATTTGGGCTTCTGGTTCCTGAGGGATATGAGTCCACGATGGCAGAACAGAGTGAGGGTGAAAACAGGAAGGGGCAGGAGCGGGAACCTGAGGGGTCGCAATCTGAACTACAAGGGTGAAGCAGAGAGAGGTGGGAAGGGGGAGGGAAAGGGAGAGAGAGAACAAAAAATGATGAGTCTTCACTCTCAAATCCTTCCTCCACACGGCCTAAGGCTCTCTAGACAGCACCAGCAGCTGGGGGCCAGTCATTCAAATGCCTGAGAAACGTGGGATCTATTCCCACTAGGTCACCATGAGGGAAGTCGGAATTGATTTGGGAACCAGTTTCTTCAGTTAAAAGTGAAGGTCCAGTTAGATGACAGCTGAGTCCTTGTTCTAAGAATTTCTTCCCCATTGGTAACTTAATCAAGAGTTCTTTCTGGAGTCCACAAGGACCATATGTCCTTACTTTTCTCTTTCCTTGTAAAACACCTTACTTTCCCCTTCAGAAGAGTCATTAAAAGTATAGCGCATGCAACCAGACCATCTCAGGAGTACTGGTGGCTCATTCTCCAAAGCGTGGAAGATAGGGGCTCCATCCATTCTAAGTTAGCTACAATAAATAACTCTTTTCTCTTTGGAATATCTAAATCTTCATGCAGGAAAAGCTATCCCAGGAGAGCCAGTCACAAAAGAAAGAGGTCCACAGATTACGGAGACAAGTGACATAGCAGTAGGATGTTTCTTTGGCCCAAGTAGATGTTTGAAGGTGGAGGAAAAGGAGAGAGGGGAGTAGACTTGCCAAAAAAGCAACTAGTGTATAGTGTATAGTGTATAGTGTATAGTGTATAGTGTGTGTGTGTGTGCGTGCGTGTGTGCGTGCGTGCGTGCGTGTGTGTGTGTGTGTGTGTGTGTGTGTGTGTGTGTGTGTGTGTGTTAGTGGTGGAATCCAGGAAAAACAAATAACAATGTGATCTTGGGTAGCAGTGTGTGCATGGTCACTGAAAGAAAACCAAGTAGATGACTCTGTCTACCTCCCCACCAAAGAGACAAGGCTTGTTTTTCACCAAAGGTAGAAATCTATCAGGAGCTTCTTTGGTTCTCTGCTCCTTCCATGGAGAGGTATCTCCCTCCTAGTACTCTTCTTGGCAAAGCCCTATCCTTGTGATAGAGACAAAAGTTGGTGGATCCTGTTAGGATAAGAAGAGTTGTTGAAAAGTTGTAACTCTGGAGGAAACTAGAGAAATTACACCTTGATAATGATAAGAGGTGACACTCACTTAAGAATTCCTATATGCTATATGCTGAGCTGTGTGTTTCTCTCTCTCTCTCTCTCTCTCTCTCTCTCTCTCTCTCTCTGTGTGTGTGTGTGTGTGTGTGTGTGTGTGTGTGTGTGTGTGTGTGTGTGTGTGTGATGTATTCTCTTGAATAGAACCCCCATTTTGCAGATGAATAGGAAATGACTTGTGGAATCTAAGTAACCTGTCCAAGGTCATCATCTATTAATAGCCAGAACAGGGATTTGAACCCAAGGCATCTGACTCCACAGAGCTATCAGTTTTAGATCACCAAGCCCTGGGTTGATAAACCCTGGAATCAGAAGGAAACAAAATGTTCTTGAAAGAGCTTGCCTGAGTGACTGCATCACGTAGGCCGCGATGCTGGCACTCCGCTCTGTGAGAAGCTCCAGTCATACGCTTTTCTCCCCTCATTCACAATTTCCTGGGAGCATGGCTCTCACATCCCGAAATCGAGGAGATGGTTTTCCTGAGAGCTGGTGGCCCTGCCTCCCTCCAGTCCTCTCAGGTTGCCTTGCCATCCCTTGCAGTATGATTTCATCCAGATGGCCAAATAATAACTTCATTATAAAAATAATTGGTTAACTAAAGCTAATATTTATGGTTCCTGACTCGAGATTTTTCTTTCTCTCTGTTCCGAACAGAACAAAAACACAACACTTTAAAATACCATTGCAGCCATCTGTTGTTCCCTGTCTGTGCTCTGTGTCATTTGAGTGGCGTCGTTATTTTGGTGTTTCCATAATGGAAACAGCACAAGGAGCATTTCAGAAAGTGTTGAGACTGCAGCACAGGATCACAGGCTAGAAAAGGACCCACAGGCCACCATGCCTTCATGCTCTGTTCTAGGATTGAGAAGGACCCACAGGCCACGCCTCCCTGCTCTGTTCTAGGATTGGGAAGGACCTACAGGCCACGCCCCTGCTCTGTTCTAGGATTGGGAAGGACCCATAGGCCACACCTCCTGCTCTGTTCTAGGATTCTGTTTCCAAGAATGCAGATCACTGGGCTCCGCCTAAGGTTTCGAGATTCTTAACAGTGACCAGTGACTGGGAGATGCATTGGTCAGGAAGGTTTCACTGCTCTAGATGCTCATAAATTCTTCCCCACATTCTTCGTCTAGTACTACATTGAATTGGGTGCTTGGATGCTGCAAACCTTTAAAGTCATATTCTTAGACTAGAAGCTTTCAAAGGTCCTTTCTACATGACATTCACTTTCCTGAACTTTTAGCTTCTCACTAACTCCTGAATTTCCTTCAGTGTGACAACCAGTAGGGCTATTAACCTTATCAGCCATCCTAGGAATGGGATAGCGTTATTACAATTGCCATTGTATACATGAGGGCACTGATACTAAAGTGGAAGGTGGAAGAAATAATTTGAAAGCATCCTTGCCACCCCATTTTGGAGACAGGGACTCACTGTGTCATGCTGGCTGGCCTGCAATTTGCTATATAGATCAGGTACATTTGTGGCGGTCAGAGAACAACCTTTGGTTGTTGAGTCTTGCTGTTGCACTGATTTCTGAGACAGTCTTGTAGCTGGAGTTTTCTCTCCGGGTCCCGCCAAGCCCCAGCAGTCCAACAGCCCACTTATAAAATAAACACACAGACGCTTATATTATTTAAACTGTTTGGCCTAATGGCTCAGGCTTCTATCTATCTAGTTCTTACATCTTAAATTAATCCATTTTTATAAATCTATACCTTGCCATGTGGCTCGTGGCTTACCGGTATCTCCACATGCTGCTTGTCATGGCAGCAGCTGACAGTGTCTCCCTCTGCCTTCCTGTTCTCTCAATTCTCCTCTGTTAGTCCCGCCTATACTTCCTGCCTGGCTACTGGCCAATCAGTGTTTTATTTATTGACCAATCAGAGTAACACATTTGACATACAGACCATCCCACAGCACAGTCTCTTCACAGTTACATAAGTCAGGTTAGCTGATCCACAAGCCTCTGGAGATTCTCCATGTCTCTACTTCCTGTAGGTGCACTGAAGTCATAGCCACCTGTGCTATGGTGTCCCGCTTGGCTTTCACTTGGGATCTGGGAATTGAGACTCTGGGTCATCAGGCTTACACCATAGCCACTGAGTCATCTTCCTAGCACCCTATTTGACTTTAGATGAACATTTAGTTTCTCTCTCAAAATGACCATTGCAACTCCTGTAAACACTGCATTTGTATCCTTGAGACCACAGTTCTCTGGCATTTGCCCAGAAATGGAATTGCTAGATGGCAGAGCATGTGTGTTTTTGGCTCTGTGGGACTTTGCTATATCGTTCTGCAGGAAGTGATGATGCCTAATAGCAATGGATAAGGACTCTCGGGGCTGCCTATTCATCTCACTTAGTTAGACCTGCTTTGCCAGCCTGATAAGCATGGTCATTGTTGTCTTGGACAAACAAGCCATGACACAAACTAGTATGCAGTGTCTTCAGCAGCAGTTAGAACTGGCTCTGCTGCTGTGGGCCATTGGTCTCTATTCCCTAAGCATTGGTTTGTGAAGAATACTGTGTTAGTTGTCATGAGATACTCACAGGGAGTGCATCTGAATTTGTTAGTCCTAATGGAGGGACAAGTGAAGAGGGTTGACAATGTGGACTTAGGCTGTTTTCAGGGATGTAATTGGTATGTGCACCTTGCCCGTCCACATCACAGCAAGGCATGGTCACATGGTTCTGTTAGTGAGTATATTCCACAACCTCGAGTTGCCTGTCATTGAAGAGTAGTGAGGAGGGTGTGGCATATGAGGACCACCAACAATTCCCAGAAGGACAGAGGATACGGCTGGGGTTCAAGTCATAGAAGTAAAAAGTCAACTCAAGTTTTAAAATTTGCTCAGAGTTGTGTCCTGCTGGCCTGTGAGTGAAAAGACGTAGGTAGCCCAGGCAAGATCATGAACACTAGCTGGCCAGGTAGGCTTGGGTAGATACTGAAAGCTGAAGTATGTCAGCTAACAGTTAATGCAGGAAAAAACAAGAGGCTATTGGGAGCCAGCAGGCCGGATGGTAACAGGTCAGTTCTGTTGAGGGTGGTAACAAGCCAAGAGCACAGAAAAGGTAGTGGTTTTTCCAGTTGACTTAAGGAGACCCAGAGCATTGGCAGCTAATCAGATCCAGAAGATGAAACCTGCAGGTGGGGCCTGTACATGCTTTGCTGGCGGCCTTCCAGCTCCAGATGATCAAAGGTACTGAAGTAGCAGAGGTAAGTCTCCATCCTGGCTTCAGACTTGGTATCTTTAGTAAAGAGATAGAAGAAGGCATTCTAGGCTTTGTATACACAAGGCTTATGATAACACAATAAAGCAAGCGTGTGCTAGAGAGTCTGTGTTTGGGAGTATCAAGACCAAATGCTGAGGTGAGACATTGGAATACAGTTGTGGGAGCCTGGGATGCTGAGCAAAATGGCAGGCTCTCACCCAGTAACAGCATTGGTAGCACACCTAGACGGTGCCACTATATCCCAGTCTCTAAGAACTGTCAACTATGTGTCTCATTTAATCCTCTAGGTTGCCCTAGGAGATGGGTATATGTTTACTCTTGTTTCACGGATAGATTCAAAGATATCCACAATTATCCAGGGCCAAAGCCAAACTTGGGGCTGAAGCAAGATGGCTTCTAGGTCTGGTCTCCCAACCATTACATTCTACTCTCACTCTAGGGCTTAGGGATTCCTAAGTAGAGGTGAATTAAAAACTGATAGCTCCAAGAAGTGTACAGATGGTTGGCACTGTCACTAGGCACTCAGCTTTGATGCATTTGAAATATTTAAAATCCTGAACAGGTGCGATATTGTGCAGCTGTAGTTTTAGCTACTGAGAAGGCTAAGGCAGGAGAGTTGCTTGAGTCCAGGAGTTCAAGACCAGCCTGAGCAGAATAATGAGATCCAGGCTCAAAAACTTAACTAAAACTTCCTTTACAGTTCTGGTGTGCACACCTATCTGCTGTTGTCAACTCTTGGTAGCTCTCTGAGCTCCTGACGAGCTATCCCCACAATTGAGTTTTTGAGCAAGAGAAGGACACAACAGTCTGTTTAGGGTGAATCAGGTCATTTTGTGGCTTAGCAGGGCTGAAGAAAGCCAAGAATGTTGAGGTGGCGAAAGGATGGCAGGTTCTACAGAAGGCAAGACAGTGTGGAAGGGTGCTGAGTCAGAGCAGGGGAGAAGTGCACCAAGCCACTGACTGCAGAGTCTATCCAGAACTATCTGAAAATAATAGGAGATGCCTTCAAGCCACATGGTTCAACAAATGAGGATCCTGCTCTCCATGAGACATAAAGAGTCAGCAAGCCCAGATGAGGTGATCTTCTGCAAGGGAGCAGAGCTGAATGTCCCAGGATGGTAGTTGTCTGACTCAGTGGATCGCCCTGTACAACAGACCACCAGCATGTTAACATGGGGCTCTGGATTTAATTCTTCTCCTGTTACCGACAAGCTGTGTGACTGTAGGCAAATGTCTTCACCTTTCTGTACTTTGTGTTGTTTCTAAAATTAAAAAAAAAAAAAGGATTGGAATTTCTCTCTTTGAGTGAAGGATTGTATTTATAACATAATCTTTTCTCCTTGATGAATCATACATGCGAGCTCTTATTGTTTTTATTGATAGGAAAGCGAAATTTGATATGTGAGCACTATAAGAGATAAGGTAAGATTTCGAGATTTTTCATCTCCCTGAGAATGCTAATATCTCTGATCCTCCTACAGGCTACCTTCAGTACAGAAAAAACAAAACACAACAACAAAGAAGAACAGAATGGGTGGGGGGAGCCTTCTCTGCTTTTTCCAAATGACAGCAGATTGATTTTCAATGAAAATGATGCTAATTGCTGGGTATTGACCCAAGATGAATTTCTCTTTGATGAACTACACGCTGCTTTTCTGAAAACCTGGCCAGCTCATCTAAATACCAGGAAGTGTGGGGTAATACAGCAAATTGGGGGAAAATGTGTATCAGAAAAATTATTGCTACAAAAATATTTTCAGTAAGTTTGCTCCCTTCATAAACAGTGCGAATGGAACGCCTGAGCAATCAGCTAAGAGCCCGATCTTCGCTGTGAGCTAATTGCCCGTCTGGTTAGTGCAGAATTTAATTTGTGCTATTGTGCGGGCAAGGCTGAGAGCGTGAAATAAACAATGTGTGTTAATTTCACGTTTTCCAATCTACTTAGCCAAAGAGAGAGCTTGGGCTCCTCTAGGCCTCAGTCCACCCCTTCCCCAATCTTCTCCTCCTAGATCGTGCAGACCACGAGTTGTGGAATGTGTGCTGATTCAGGTGTGGGATACTTGTTCCCAAACTGAAGGTTCAGGATAGCAACTGGCCTGCACAGCAGTGCTGACCAAGGAGGTGAATCCTCCCCGCCCTGCTCCTGGGGCTGGTGCCTGAGATCGTTCTTCCAATGGGCACCTGCTGGCACCATGCAGCTGGCTTTATTCTCTCCAGTTCCATGACACTTTGGCTTCCTGTGGAGTGGCTTTCACTGGGGCAAATGGGAGCTAACTGGCTGTCATCGACACTGAGGGTGTTCTTTGTGTAAGGGTTATTTTAGGAAGAGAGAGAAATGATGCCCACTTCTAGGAAGAGCTTTGAGAAAGATTGGGTAGTCTTCTTTCTCTCTCCCCATTGGGAATCCAAGGAGGAGTCAGAAATAGCAGAGGCATTGGAGATGAAATCTACTTATAGTCTTCCTTGAGTTGGATGGCCAGAAACCCTTAAGAGTCAACTGCTTTGGGTCCCAGAGGCAATAATCAGTAGTTTGACTAGGCCTTAACCTAAAGACCTCACTCCCTAATAGTACTAATGTCCTTCAGTAGCTAATTATCAGCAGAAACCAGAATCAGACTCTCTGTGTTCAAATCCTGAGTGTAGAGAGGTAATACTTTGCAAGCAAGTCACTCTTCTCGGCGACTGTTTCTGCACTTGTAAAATGGAATAAAGGGCATATAGCCCTAAGATGACGATATTAACACAAATAAGTACTCAGACTGCACCTGGAATATGTAAGCCTTCTGTGATCTTTAGCTGTGATTAGCATTATTATTAGGGCAGTCTAAATTTCTAATTTATTTTTATCACATAATTGTGTGTGTGCACATACATGTGCATATATGTGTGTGTGTGTGTGTGTGAGAGAGAGAGAGACAGAGACAGAGACAGAGACAGACAGAGAGAAGTGAGGGGTGGAAGGCACTCCTGTTCCTTAAGAAAGGGGATGTTGTATTTTCCCTCAACTTCACTTTTTCAACAATCCTGTGTTATTGCAAACCTGGAAAGAAAATTTTGTGAGGTTCTTCTTTACCTGAAACAAAAATCAAAACAAAATCGAATCTGAAGTTGCTGATGCCAAATCTGTAGTAGCATGAAGCCTTCGTGATTTGTCTCAGTTTTCCCTGTGACCAGTTCAGACCTGATACCTAGTGCATCTTGAATGTGTGCTAATTGAATTTCTGACTCAAAGAACACAGAGGGGAAGCCAGATATGGTCTTCAAGCCAGAGAACCAAGTGAAAAGAAATCTCTCGGCCCTTTGACCATGCAATGACTGGATTTTGTTTTGAGAGATCAGGTGTGCTCAGGGTAGTATGGCCATGGATGGCATTTCTTTTCAGGAAAGAACAAAGAGGGTCATATTAATATGACTACATACCTGTTATATTATGGAACCCCCTTACCCTGATCCAGGGAAACTGTTCTATGGGTTATCCATGGGACCTCCATAAATACTAGATAAGTTCTGGTTAAGGTTCCAGACCAAATGTACAAATGTTCCTGTTCCCAGAGAGTCTATAATCCCTATAAGTAGTGAGCATGTTCATTAACAATCATATGGCTGCTGAAGTGTCATCCTGCTGTTTGGAATGTTCTGTGTTGGCATCCTTATACTGTAGACCAGGATGTTTCAGGGTAATGAACGATTGAGGGATTTGTCCAAGGTCACATAGCTGGAACATGACCTCCTCATCTTTGATTTGAGAGCCTTTCTTCCCTCTACTTTGTTGATTTATCCTTTCGTGAAATAAGTGGTATTTGTCCTGAAAACTGAGTTCATTCACTCTTGACAATGACAGGAAAAATAATAAACATACTGGGCAGGGATGTGTAAGCCATAGATGAAAAAACAAAAGTGTTTCTATACTGTTGCAGTGTCTTCTTGGAACTTGTAATCTAGGGGGAAATTAATAGTGCCACCAACTATTACCAATAGAGTATCTACTACATATAAAAACTGGAAAAGAGAGTCCAGAAATGAATAAGACACGAGTGCCTTCTGGTATACCACAAGCTCAGGGAGAAATAGTATGAGTGCCCACAGCAGGGGTGGGTTGTGTGTCGTGGGGGCGGGGGAGGGTAAAACAGGTAGCATGCGGCAGCTACTGACTGAGTTGCACGGACTAGATGTAGTTTTGAGTTTGAGAGGTGATCAGACTCTGTTAAAGCTGGGCTGGGATTAAGCATGCAATGATAGAAGCAAGTAGAAGATGAACCCGAAGCGCATCACTGGCATCTAACAGTAGGAGAAACTGTACCGTGCTGAAGGTAGGAGTAATCAGAGGAAGCAGAGAGACATGCAGTGATCTCAGGGAGGAAGAATTTGAATGAGGGAAAGAGTGTGAGCAAGGGATTCTGGGTAGAAGGGGGTGTCAAGATCAAAGGAGGAAAAACACTGTAAAACTTGTCTGCAGATGCAGACTAATTGGAAAGATCATTTGCTTTGATGACAGGTCAGCACTGACTTTCCAAAGTAGGGAATTTTGTTAGTTAGTGCCCTCTTCAGCAGAAGGAAGGTGATATAGGAAGGGGCACTATGGAGTCATAGCAATCAGAATTTTCTCCATAACCGTAACCATGAACATAATCATCCCAAGTGTAAGCAGAATCACCCACACCATTGGAAAAATGTATCATGCACACCCTGAGCAGAATTACAATAACCATAAAATCACTGTAACAATCAGCAGAATCATCTTTGCTTTTGCTTTAGACTCCCCAAATTTTCCCATTCCTCAAAACCAGTTGGAGGCCACTGCTCCACCAAGGGAGATCCAGTAGTATACACTAATCTCTGCACCCTCCTCCCAGTGCCCACCTCAACAGAGCTCCCAATAGAGGAGAGCTCACTCACCCATAGGAGATGAAGGAAATGGAGACTTCCTCATGATGTGGCCACTTCCCTAGTCACCAGTGGCAGAACTGAGGCACACAAAAAGGTAAGGAGTATGAATGCAGGCCCAACTGATCCCAAAGTCAGCTCCAGACTACTGCATTCTACTACTGCTTCTAGCACTGATAGCTGATGGTGCATACTCTTGTCTGGTTAAAACTGCCTTAACCAGACAGTTTTTCTACTATGATCTGTAGAAAAGTAAAGGAGCAAAAGGACCATAGAATATACAGTGTCTTTGTCTCCAGGGACCTGAAATCTAGATAGTTAAAGCATTAAACTAAATGACTTGAACACAGGGCACATGTGGACACAGTAGATTATAAAATCAACTGGTAGTTACTGAGCATCTAGTATGTTCCAGGCATGTTACTAATACTATAAAAGCATGCAGAAAGAACCCAGTCTCTCTAACCTATGTGGGAGTTAGTTCTTCAGCAAGTAAATTTGCAAGTGGCTGTATAATTTACAGTGTAAAACATTAGGGAGAGAAAAAAATTCCATATGCCATGAGAGAGAATAACAGGGGTACCTGTTATAGATAGGAAAGTCAGAGAAATCCCTCCCCAAGTGTCACTACAGCTGAGATTTGAAAGATGACCAGGATGTAGCAAAGTGTAGGGAGGGTGGGACCCAGAGAGAGAGGATTTCTGGTCAGAGCCCCAAAGCAGGAAGAAAATGGGGATTTAGAGAAACCCACCTAGCCAAGGCAGCCATCTGGGTGCTTCTAGCATTTCCTGTTTGAGGAGGGAGGGTTCTGGAACCCCTGTGACCCATCCTCTGAATGCCCTGGGCTGAGCAGATGGCTCCCCTTCTGCCTCCACCCCTGGTTTATTGTTAATGACGTTATCCTCAGCTGCAGCATGAGCTCTGTCTATAGCTTTGCCCGTTTTCTCCTTTTGATCATGGTGGGGGCTCCTGGACCACATGGGTAGCACTGCTCTGGTTCATCTCCTTGTCTAAGCCCCAGGTCTGAGTGGCTTTCATTTGGGTCTCCTCCTCCCCAGCCTCCAAGGGAGCTAGGACCTGGGAAAGACTCTAAATTGTATACATTATTTCCTTTTTGATTAGGTGAATAAGTAACTTGATTGAGATGCATCTCTTTGGAGGGCGCTGCTGGCAGGCTTCCAGAAATGGGAGACAGCTGGCCCTGAACACAGAAGGGACAGCAACAAAGGCCCCAGGGACAGACACATGGCTGGGAGGCCTGGGATCCAGCCCAGCAGACTCCAAAGAGCACTGGCCAGAAACCCTGGAGCAGGGGTGGGGGGATCTTTCTCCCTTTCCTGTCTATGAGAAGGAAGGCTGGGGTTAGGGATACTTTCTCAGCTTTGGATCTGAATTGGTCTGTTCCAGCTCCTACCCTCCAGTCAGACGAGCTGCATCAGGAAGGAATGGACCCAGGCTCGGGGAAACTGACAAGTGTTGTAAAACCCAAGTGAGAAGGTGTAGGGGATAGTTCTTCATGTGCAATACCTGTCAATTTTACAAACAGCCTTTTAAAAATAGTTCTACATGGCATGCGTTTTCTGGGCTTTAATCCAGACTCTTCTTCCTCACCCTAAATTTAATATGTGAGTCTAACCAAGGGTTTCTTTGCATTTTGCTAACCAAGAGCTATATCCCTGACCACTAGCACAGCTGACCACAGTGGCCCCATCCCTACTCAGGTAGATTCTGGCAGTAATTACCTGTGACACTATCTAGCAGAGGACAATTTCAGTGTATGTGGAAATGATACTGAGGGAGCTTAAATGACTCTCATATAAGGCCTACACCAGGCCACTAACCTTGAGAATCCTTACTCTGAAGGCAAGTGAGGTAAGTTGTTCCCTGGCCCTTAGTGTAGAAGTCAAGATTTAAGACATCTGGAATAGGCCTTTCCGTAAATAGTCCCTTCACTTTTGTCTTGATGGTTACTGATCTATGACGAAAGAACTAGTCCTTTGAGTAAAACTATGATGAATGACTTCAGGGTTAAAATATCCCTAAGATAGAAAACATTTTAATTCAATTTGTCATTAACCCTTTGTTTGGGTAGAAACTAGCTCATAACTACCCCTTGGGAGTAGTCTGTAGGGGCCAAGGAAAAGAAGACAAGAGAGATGAGGACATGAAGCAATCTGATGTCATTTATGTGGCACATTATGATCCCAGGAGAGCCCTGGAGCCATCAGATATGGCTTCCTATTCCAGCTTCAATCTTTTTGAAATTCTTTTTTGATCTAACAACTTCCCATACCTCAATAGGAAGTCAGGAGAATGAAACCATGCTTGTGAAATGCCACCCTGGAGAGCCTCTGAGACAGCTGCTTTTGAGTGTCTGGGCTTGTAGGGTGGGAGGAAGGTCAGTACAACCCTTTAATGGCTCTGGTCGGTGGTATTTGGCTCTCTTAACTCGTAGGCAGGAGAGGTCTTGCTTAGGTCCTCCCTGGGCAAGGCCATCGCTCAGCGCTCATCAGCTTGCTTGTTTCTAAGAAACCCTTACTGTGTATTAGGAAAGGCAGAATGCAAAGCCGTATTCTCAGCTACACTAAACTCAAGAGGATGAGGAAGCTGACAAAGGGAACGAAGAGCCCGACCTTGAATTGAAATGGACAGAAGCTGCAAAGATACTTCTGCAGAACATTCTTCACTTGTGTCAGGCCAGCTTCCATGAAGGGGAAGACTTCTCACCCATAAGAGTGCTGCCTGCTATGACCTTGACTACTAGTCACTGTACACATCCCAGCTATTCTTTCTGGACTCCACTGTAGTCCTCTCCTTGTGCATGAACCTCATGCTTCAAGGTTCAAAGCAAAGACGGTCTCCTATGATGAAATAAAATCTATGGCACCAGAAGAACTAGGTCTATTAACCTGATGCCTAGCATATAACTGACATCTAGGAAGTAGCCAGTAAACACTTTTGAGTAAGTGATTAAGTTATCTAGTTTCTGACTTCTTGCCTGAGTAGACCTTTCCTGGTCTCTCACTGTAGTCCAGAAAACACCTTCAGTCCCGTCCCTCTGACAGAACAATTAATCTGCAGTTCCCTTAGTTCATGATGGCGTTGTACTGTGCTCACCTCAATCACTGTACTAGGGCAATCATTAGAGATCAATTATCCAGAAGTATAACTAACTGTTTTTCTAGTGGTATTGGGTTTTCTCCTCTGCTGTAGTACAAACAAACCAAATATGAGGAACTAATGAGCTTTTTCCTTTTAGGCATTAGGAGGAGAAAAAAAAAAAAAAAGCTTACCTACTGTAGGATGCAAGAGTCAGGTGACCAAACTCTTCATTAAATGTGCATGATACCTCAGGCAGATTCACTGAAGTTACCTTAGTGTTCTAGTTTTATAATTATGGCAAAAATATTTAAATTGCTTCGACAAGTATAGACTTTTGAGTGTTTGTGAAGCATCATATGTTTTATCTTGTTTCTTGGCACTGCAGCATAATTAGTGTAGTGAAATCACTCTCTGGGACTCTGAGCTGGATGACATCTGAATCTTGGCATTTCCAAGAGGCTCAAGTTCAAAGCTCTGTACCCTTTCACCTCTGTGCAGGATGGCTTCTTCAAGGTGGAGCCAACAATTTTTATGTTCCATAATCAGATGAATCATAAAACACAAAGTCATTCACATGAGATGACATGAAAGAAAAATCCAAAGGGATTCACTCATCCTTCAGAAACATGACTGCCTGAGGGAGAAGTTTGTAACACTCACGGCGGTCCAGGGTTGTGATGTGTTATTTTGACAAGAGTGTCTTCTTTGTCCCCTCAAGTCACAGATCAGGGTTGGTGAGCCCTTGCATGGCATCGGGCTGACTTTGCATGTGAGTTGGAGTCTCTGGCACTGGCTCTTTTGATTCTGGAAGGAATTACAGGAGAGCGAAGGTTGAGCTTTAAGTTGAGTCCTAATGAAGGAATGCAACTCAAGGACTTTAGGCTGCCATATTTCTTGGGTTTCCATTATAAGATATGACATGGAAGTTGGTTTGTTATACTACTTTTGAAATATGAGGCTTACAGAGTGCAGCGACTGGCCCAGGGAATCCCCAAAAATCCATTAGCCAAGATATGTGGCTACATCCCTCAGTCCCTGCTGCCTTCCCCTCTGAAAGTGCCTTTGAACTTTGACGATGATGACAGCATCTGCATCCATGTTGCATCACCAGTTTCACAGGCTTGAACTGAGTGGAAAGCATATGATTTCACATGGAAGGAATTCTGGGCAAGAAGACAGTGAACCAACGTTCTAATTGCAGCCCTTGTGAGGGAATTGCTTCCACATTCTGGCCTGTTTCCTAATGTTTACTTCAGAGGCTTGGTTGGGGAAAGTTCTATTTGGTCCAAGGACCAGCTATATCCACATCACCTGGGTCTGTGCCTATATAGGCATATCCTTGGACTTCCTGAAGACCTTTGGAATCAGAGTGTGGTAGTGTGGGCCAAAGAAACCAGGTTTACCAGGTTATGATTGTGTGTTCTAAAGTGCAAACTACAAACACAGGACAAGGTAGATTGCTGCACTGCCACATGGAGATACCATCTAGCACCTTCCAATGTTATGCATATAATTATTGAAAAGTGCACAAGGAGCAACAACTAGGAACAGAATCTCCCGTTTGTTCTCCATATTTTTCATTCATCACCTATCTATCCATATTCTATGATGAGAGGGGATGCATTTTATTTCATTCTGTTTTAGAGGCTGTTTTAGAGCCAGAAGCCCCTAATGGTGGACAGAGAAGAAAAAGAAAGCTCCCAGGGTGGGGGGGGGGGAGAGAGAGAGAGAGAGAGAGAGAGAGAGAGAGAGAGAGAGAGAGAGACTATAAACAGCAGTCCTAGAATTATCCTCCAGCATCGCTCTATTATGGAGAAGAGCTGACACAGCAGAGTCCGGGGGGGGCGGGGGGATGCTGTGTGTCTGCAGTGTGCTAATCACAGAGGCAGGCGGGCTAAATGCAAAGAGAACATTTGCACAAACAGCACCTGTACTGAGCAGCCATGGGCTATTTTTAGTGCTTCTGTAAAGAGCAAAGGGACATTTGGAAAGTCTCCTGGGGGATACATTGGGTAGGAAGGTGGGGATGTGTGGATGCAGTCGATGTGTCTGACTCTGTAATGCCCTATCGGCTGAGTCATTATCACCCTGAAGAGTCTTTTATTGGGGATTTGGTTTGGTGTTGGTTGAGGATAGTGTGCTGACATAGAGGTGCAGGAACTGGGCATGGAAGAAAGTTATTCTTACCCATCAGTGAAGTGTTTGATTGCAGAGCACATCTTACAAGTTTACAGGATTTTAATTCTAGAAAACAGAAGTGCGGTGTGCTCCCCAGGGCTTATTCTTGAGAGCTGAAAGTAGGAACAAATGACAAATATTTTTATTTTGTTTATTCTAGCCAGATGCTATTCAGAATGCCCTAGTTGGGAACGTCACTATAACATCCATGGATAGAGTAAATCATATAATTTTGGATATATGTTGTTGGGCTAGAATGGCTAGAGCCTGGAATATGGACGTCTTGATGGTTTAGGAAGAATACTGACTCATGACACCCATCCTTAGTTTAAAGAAAAGAATAATAGTGAATGCTAGCTGAAGATTTAAGGAAACATTCCTAATGGTAGGTCCATAGACAGGTCACTAATAGCATGGACTCTACATACCAGGATAAGATTTGGTCTCCATAGCATGCTGACGCATGGAGTATCACACCAAAATTAACACAACTTTATAAATGTTACAATTAGTGTGATCTGTCAGATAGATTCATAACACATCAGGCCGCTTTCTGACCTATAGACTCATCTTTCACCACTAACAATTAGAAAGTTCTCTTCTTCTTTCTGTTTGTTTTTTGTTTTTGTTTTGTTTTGTTTTTGTTTGTTTTGTTGCCTCACAAAGAATTTTGGGTTGAATTGTAATGACATATCTAGACTATCATACTTGACAAGAGTTCTCCTAAGACTCTTGTTCAAATTGCCCCAGCTGTCTCTACAGACGATGGATGTAGAACCTGGTTTCATGACTCTCAAATTTCTGTACTGTATCAGAAAACTCATGGCTCCTAGAATCGGAAGGATCTTAAATCATCCAGTATTAACCTGTTGCTCTGCATGCATGAGTTGTAAACTATAAATCATATAAACCTTCTCTAATAGTGGTTTCGACATGGGAAATCAGGCCACAAAGAGGAATGCCAATATGAAACAGTTTTCTTTGTATCTTGCTTACAAACAAACAACAATACCACCTAATTGAATTTTAATTTGAAGTGATTTTCACAGGTGTGGTTCAGGATTTGTGGCCATCACGGGGCTATTTTCATAGAATTGACAAATTGTGCTGGGAACTAACCTGGGGTTTTGTTTCATAAATATGTTCACATGTTCATTATTGCATCCTAACTGACACAGACAGTGTGAGACCACGAGAACAATAACCTTAGGTATTATTGTGAAATAATCGACAATATGACATTTGTCTTCTAGGATGTCTACTCTCTCTCCCAGTGCCTTATCCTATCCCAGTTTGGCCCCTCAGGTCCCTTGCCTGTGTCAGACACCATTCTGTAGGGTTTTGATGTTAGCCAGCTGCTATATTCCTTCTTAATATGCTTGCCCATAAAGATTTAATAAGTTTGGTTAGGGCAAAGAGAAGAGGTGCAGGAATGGAGATTTAATCACTGCAGCCTAAATCTAGCCATTTTTCTCTCTCTCCTCTGACTGTTGTGGCTCTTTCAAATTCTGCTTTTTATTAGCTTAAACCCTATAAAATTTTCATTTTTGTGAATCTAAACAGTCAAGTATTATCAACTTAGTAATGCTCTACCTAATGACATTGAATCGATATGGTCTGGGACTTAACAATGCACTGGAGCATCCTGCTTCTTTCCATGCAGCTACCCACATTAATTCAAATTCTTGTGTCAAAGGACTTGTTTGCCAAGACAAGTTCTAAACACCAGTGTGTAGCCTGACCCCTCTGCTCTACCGCCACCCAAACTGCATCACGGCTCTAAAGCTTCGGTACTAGTAAACACTGAGAGGCAATGGACTTTTCTTTCATCCAGGTGCTCATTCAGAGGTGGGGGTTGTACAAAGCGCTCTCTGTAAACTGCTTGCAAGGGAAATTTCAAGTTTAATGGCAAAAGGGCAAATGAGAAAATGTAAGCACAGTACAGTTTGAAGGCCCAAAAGACTCAGTATTTAGTGGCTTAGCTGGTATACTCCTGTTGCAAAGGTAGGCATCCTTACCAAACTGGACATTGCTACAAACATTTGAGCTGCCTGGCAAGTATCCAGTAGATCCAAATAGGACATTTTTAAGGATTGCAGCAAGGGACCCATTATGCTGGATACAGGATGCCCCTTCTCCAGAAATTTTTTTCAAGCCACAGCCCAGAAAAAGACAGATTTCTTGGTGCAAAATCAACTCTGATCCAAGACTTTCCAGTCTTTTCGATCTTCTCTGCACCAGGTCTCCAACAATTATTTTAAACAAGGATTGCATTCCTAAGTCCTTCATTCTTTATTCCTTCCCTAAGGACTCTAAAAGTGACCAAAATGGGAAATTAGGAAAGTTGGAATCTTTTCACTCTATCCTGGCCTCACTTCATCATGTCACACCCTGCCAGCTCATACAGGACACCAACCAGTTCTCTGACCCCAAGGGCTGCTAGTCTATCCCAAGAAATTCCAGCAAATCTTGGAACAAAGACTGGCAGAAAACGAAATTCCCTGTCTGGACTGAAAATCATAGAGATTAGCCAGGGAAGTTTGTGAAATTTGTTTTGAAATGCTACGAATATTTCCTCTCCTGATCCTCACCTCCATGACATTCCTCTTCCAGCCGCCGCCACCAAACCGCTTCACACAGCATCTTTACAAACTGAAGTGTGACCTTTAGATTGAGACGTTCTCTGTTGCAATGTGTTGGAATATGTTTCAACATGGTAACTTGAGATCTATTTACTAAACTGTTTGGCACACTCAGCATGTCCTGGGGGAATTGTTGGCAGGACCTGCCGTGTGTTTTCCACTCCTCCCTGATGGATTACCAGACATAAGGTCATCTCAGTCTAGCAGAGATGGGTGCTGCACAGGGCTCATTACCTCGCAGCAAGCCAGCCAGATGAGGCCGTGGGATGTTTTCTCTTCATCATTCAAGCTTGAAAGGAAATTGTCAGCCTCCACTTGCTCTTGAAACAATGAAAATTTAGGTGACAGCGCTCTCATTAGCTCAGTGGAAATGAAGGATCCTAGGTAAAGATATCCCTCCCCCACTCCCCGGGGTTCTTTGCAGCACACTAACAAGTCTACCCCATGTCAAGCTAGTAACCAAGCCACATAGCATGGACCTTAGCCTTTGGGGGGGAGGGGAGTTACCAACGGCACATACTTCTTTGGGAAGCGATTTTTGTGATGCAAAGATTCTGAGCTAGGAAAATGGGTACATTTAAGATGTACCCTGGCTCCTCTCTGGTTGAAATGGGTACATGGATACTGTTCACTTATGACTTAAAAGCATTCATATAATGAAACAAGCAGGGGTTTCATTAGGCTCGTATATACTCATTCCAGGAGAATTGCAAGCAAAAGCGTCAAGTGTACACCCTATGCTGTACCCTTGCATCGCATTTTCTGATCTAGAAAAGCTTAGTGAATATTTAATGAACCAAATGGATGACACACAGCGTTAAGGGAGACCAGATAATTGCTTGCATTTGTATAACAATCTATTCTATGACATGCACATACGTTATTTTCTCATTTGATCCTATAACAGCCATGTTTTATTGTCAGGGTCAGTATTTTGTCTCTGAGGTTTTTGTTCTTGTTGTTTGGTTGGTTGGCTTTTTTTTCATAAGACAGTCAATGTCAAATAATACTGAGGGATTTATTAAATAATCATCTATAAACACCATGACTTTTATTGAAAATACATCCTTACATGCTAAAGTTTCAGAAAAATCAGTGATTCAAGTCAGTGTTTTAGTCTCTGCTTTTTATAAGAGCTTTGAAACAGTAGGACTGAAGGTCACCTGAGCTGCAATTCTGGTGAAGAAAGGCTTAGTAGGGATTCTCATGGCCTTATTAAGACAACCAGTTTTGAAACCTAGCAGCCCAGCCACCATCTAAGTTCTTACTACACTTTCTAACTAATCACATGTATACAAGACCTTATTAAGTAACTAGTGCTTCGAACATGGCTCAAACATATTTTCAGAAAATGCTGAAGGTAATTCAATATATATCTGCACTGTTCTAGGTTGAATCTGTCATTTAAACCTGATGGGATTGACCAGAGCTGCGTGCAATGACTGGGCCAGTCAGGCCCCAAGCCTCCTGATATGTAGGGGTCTTCTTTTACACTTACTGGACATTTGTTTCTGAATAGAAGAAGGAACTATCAAGATTGTCCCATGGATTTTAATCCATATCTTAAGTTCCTTTTAGCCAGAAGGAAAGATAATGATGAGAAGTACTCTGTTCAAAATATGCCTAATGGGAAAAAAAAAATCTCCAGATGTCCGTCATCTGCTCTGGACATTTCCACTCAAATATAGGCTTCTTCCAGTCTTGAGATTTGGTTCAGATGCTCATCAACAGTGACCCTCCTATTTCTCTTGTAGATACCTCCTTTTGTTGTTTGTTTGGGGTACTAGGATTGAACCTATGGCTTTGTACATGCTAAACATATGCCCTGTTTAGTCAGGGTTCTCTAGAGGAACAGAACTGATTTTAAATATATTTGCTTACATTGAAATATAACAACAGCTGTCTATCTTATACCAGAGAGACTGAGAACCCAGTAGTAGCTCAGTTCATGAGGCTGGGTGCCTTAGTAATCCCAATTTGCACTAAAAAGCTGCAGGTTCCAAAAAAAAAAAAAAACCCTGCAGGTTCCCAGGGAGCCACTGGTCCTCACTCAGTGATGGAAGCCTGGAAACACTGGTTATAATATCAGCATGGGAATCAGCAGTAGCAACAACAGGGCAAAAAGACTCACCAGCAAGAGGGAAGGCCAAGAAGCGGGACATGAACCAATCTCCTGCTCTGCTATTTTTATCCGGGATGCTCCCAGAAGATGCCACACACATTTGGGGTGAGTCTTTCCGAATCAGTGAGGGCAGCCAGGACTGATCTTTAGTTGAGGCTCCCTACTCAGGTCATTCTAATTTGTAGCAGGTTGACATTAAACCTATCACTATTCACTTCACTCTATCCCCAGCCCTCTTACTACTGTATAATTTTGAGATAAGATCTCAACTAATTTTCCTTGGGTAGCCTTCAACTTTCTCTATAGCTATTGATGGACTGATCTCCTGCATCCCAAGCAACTAAGGTTACATACCTGTGTCACCAAGCCCAGAGACTACCCTCTTGATTCTCTCCTAAACCAAATGAGTATTCCCCTAATACTAATATCAATAACCTAAAATATATATGCAGATTCTGAGGAAGAAGAAAAAGAACTCTGAGCTACACATGAGTCATAGTGGAGAAAAAAAAAAAGAAAACGTATTACTTCCATTACTCTTCTGCCTCTTTAAGAATTCCAATAATTCTTCTGATCCTTTCGTGTTTACAGAAAGGAGGAGGCATTGTCTAATTATTCAGAGCCAATGTTCTTCGGGAGTCCTAGTGCACTAGTGAGAAGAGTCACTCATGAGAAAGTAGGGCTTTTGTTTTATGGAAGCCTGTTCATAGGTACCTGGAACTCAAACTCTATTAAGAAACAAAAGCAAAGTCTTTTTCCCGGGAACATCTATTCTGAGTGTGTATTAGATCAGCAGGCACAGGACAGGTTCCAGAAACTTCCTACTAGCAGTTCCTGACCACAGTGTGGGAAGCCTCATGAAGATCTCATATCTGAACAAACTTTCCAGCTTGGATTTCAGTGGAAGATCTTGCATAAGAATGATGCTAGAAACAGGAACATGGAGCACTGCCTTTTTTTCCAGGAGCCAGGAGGTGCTCAGAACAGCAGAGCTTAGTTTCCCCCTTCCTCAACCCTCAACATATACTTATTTCTTTTGATCCAGTGGTGCCCATGTCTAATGAATGGACTTGGTGGATTTCAGTCTCTAGGAGAGAGCATGTAGGGTTGCGCATTTACTCCTCCTCCTCCTCCTCCTCCTCCTCCTCCTTCTCTTCTTCTTGGTTTTTCGAGACAGGGTTCCTCTGTGAAACAGTCCTGGGCTGTCTTGGAACTCACTCTGTAGACCAGGCTGGCCTCGAACTCAAGAGTTCTGCCTGGCTCTGCCTCCCTTGTGCTGGGATTAAAGGTGTGTGCCACCACCGCCCAGCTGAGTATTTGTTTTCTTAACAGAACAGATTCTATCTAACATATCCTTGATCTGAGGGTGACTCTAACCCCACAGTTTTCTATTAGAAGCTGTTTGACCTACTTGGTGGCAGCCTTAATGTGATTAATGTATTTCTCTATTTCCAAAGAATGTCCACTTGGCTTTAGTCTTCTATTTAATTAGATTTGAAAAACAGCCCAGATTTTTTTACTGTGGTAAAATATACATAACAAAATTTACCCCTTTAACTATTTTAAAGCTATAAATCAGTGTCAATAAATGCATTCATGATATTGTACAACCATCACCAATACCTGCCTCCAGAATATTTTTGTTGTTGTTAGAATTCCTAGCCACTCCCCCAATGACCGCACATGCGCTGGCAAGATGCTTCATCATCCCAAGGCCTTACATCTTATGTAATCTGTGCACTGCATGATTACATAACTTGCTCACAGCGTGATCATGTAACCTATGCAAATGTGTGGCATAGCAAGTAAGCTCATAAGTGCATGTCCAGGGGAATCTATAAAAGCAGGTTCCACGTAATCCTCCTCTTCTTCCTGCACGATCTTTCCATTGGCCTAAGCATCCCCTTCTATTTCCTCCCCTTAATAAATTCTTATAGTGGGTTTTGTTGTACCTTGTGGCTTTTCTCATACGGTAAACAGCGCCGCTTAATGAATAACATTGTGCGGCGTAATAAATAACAATTTTACCAAATAGAACTCCTGTGTCAGTGAATAACTTCCGTTCTCTCTCTGCTGCCCACTGGAAAACTCTATTATACTTTCTGCTTCTATGAATTTGACTCTTTTATATCCATGAAATAAGTACAATCATACAATGTCTGTCCTTTTGTATCTGACATGAGGTTTGTTGGCATTTGTCTGTCTGTGTCATAGCCCAGGCACTTTTGGCATGTCACTGTTTGTATGTGACATTGTGGTACAGACTGAGAGGAGGAAATAATGGGGATGAATGAATTTACAGGAAACCTCTGGATGAGGCTTCAGGAGCTATGGGAATATTAGAGGGGCCATAGATTTCAGAACTAAAACCAGGACATGACTGGACAGACACCATGTTTACACAGGCATAGCTGAAAATAATGTCCAAGATGGGCAGCTGTGAACTGAAACTGTCTTGGTAATGGGGAAAAAAAAGTAAAAAGGTGTAGCTCCGTCAGATTTCTCTCTTTCTGATACAAAGGTTGTCCAACTCTTTGTTTTCTATCCTTACTCTTGATTTTTCCCAGGCAAGGCTGGCTGGTTCTTAATTCCTGATTCCTCTTTGAAAGCATCTGTCTTTGCTTTCTGATGGGGTTCGTGTCTGCATAGCAGGAAGGGAGTGTGGTCACCGAGACCCCAGGAAGAGCAGCCTAGGGGCAGCAGTTTGTGGCCTCTGTGAGATGTCTATGTCATCTCCCAGCCTGGGCAAGCCCTCCATCCCGCTATTGCTAAACATCCACCACAGGGTCAGAGGCAAGAAGGATGGAGGAAGCTGTGCAAGGCAACAGGGATGAAAGCAACAAGCTCAGCTTGAGCTGCCCTGGGGTTATGGCCTGCTGCAGCTGCTCTTGAGCGAAGACAAGGGACCTGGGCATTGAGATTTGTAAAGTCTCAGTACCTCCTTCGGGGACCATGTCCAGTTTCTGAACAGGTACTTGGGCATCATGAGGTTGGAAGCGTGACAAAAGCATTCAATCTGTGATTGGGCTGAGATTTTTAATCAAATCCCCCCCAAAAACCTCCCTAACTCATGGATTTCATGTTACATAAGAAGAACACTTAACACTACGGATGAGAGCTACTAAGAATTGGTGGAAAATTGGGGGAGGGGCCAAATGATTTTTATGGAAAGCAAAGGAATTATGAAAAGCACATGGCAAGCCTTATTATTTTTTCTAATATGTTCCAAACCCAAACAAACTCAAAAAAAGTACATGCGCAAACCTTAAACCATTTTGCAAATCCCACCCTAGATTTCACATTTCTCCAGTGAGGCTTACATTTCTTTATTCAGATTCCAAAAGTGGAGATAATTTGTTCCAGATGTGTCCAAAGTCGACCAGCAGAAGGGCTTAATGATTTTTCCAGAGCTGGAGGAACTGTGAAATCCTCTGCACTCTGCTGGAGCATTCAGAGTGAAAGGAAAAGGAGGCAATCGAGGGGAGAGGGAGCTGGGCTGGTGATCTATTTGTTTATGTTGTTACTGTGATGGCTCCTGGACAAGGTCTGGGAAGGCATGAGAATTGCCAATGTCTCGTTTCCTTTGGCGAGGTGGCATTTATTTTGTTATGAAGCAGATTGTGATGAACAACAACAACAAAAAATGGCCATACAATCATAAATGTTGCAAGATGGGTGAGGAAACTTATTTCAAAGAGACTTAACTTGCGGTCCCTGGGAAATGGTGAGTGGGTCTGAGCTTCAGCTGATGCACCCAAGCCTCTGTCATGTGCCCTCTCTCCCTCACCAATTTTCACATAATCGTCCATTTATGTATTACTATTCCCTCTGCTAATGGAATGGGCTGCATCCCAATGATGCTTCCACTAAGAATGCTTGGGCTCTGGATGCCAGGGCTGGAGAATGACAACAGGGACAGTCTCTAGGGACCGCCAAATTTCATACAACTGGCAAGAGAGGATCTTGAATTTTTTTTCAAATTATTGCATTTGACTTCTCCCAGATTAAGATGTATGCTCACTAGTTTAATACATATATGTCTTGTGTCCACCGTGAGAGGCTATTGTCCTGCAGGTATAGAAGGAGATCTTCCTCTTTCTTCTATGTAACTCTCACAGTACTTAACAATAAACGTTCATTTGGGAGAAAAAAACATAGAATAGGACATGCAATATTCTTTAGCTGATTAAATTTTCATGCTGCTGTTATTAAAAGCAAATTCAACTACAGAATAGTCAATTCAGATCTCAAGACATCAGAGTTTCTGATTATAATAACATACATTACATGTTAGTACTACCATTATTACAATGCTCATTATTTATTATAGTTATACTATGAGCTGGATAGAGTGACAAGTGACTTACATAGGATAACAGCTTCAGCTGCCAACTTGACACAATCCTAGAGTCACCTGGGAAGAAACCTCAACTGAAGAACTGAAGAGATCCTTTTGATCTGTGGCTTTGCCTGTGAGGCATTTTCTTAATTGATAATAGTTTTAGGAGGGCCTATCCCACTATGGGCAGTGCCATCTCTAGGCAGGTGAGCCTTGGCTATGTAAGAAAGATGCCTGAGCATCCCAGGTAGAGCAAACCAACAAGCAGTGTTCCTCTGTGGTGTCTGCTTCCTGTCTTGGCTTCCTTGATGATGGACTGTAGCCTGTGAGCCAAATAAAATGTCTTCCTCCCCCAAGTTGTTTTTGGTCAGTGTTTTCTCACAGCAACAGAGAGGCAAAGTAGACCAATAACCATATGGAATGTTCCTTAATCTTGAAAACAATTCTGCAAAAAGAAGAGATGATCTCATTCTAATGAGATGTTTCCTCATGCCAAATGAGGAAACTGAGGTTCAAAGAATTGTCACTTTGGATTTCAGGAACCAAATGCGAGTCAGAGCAGTTCAGCTGATGGGGTCCTTGTGTATGAACTGAGGTTATGAAACACATGGGGCTGGTACCAGTTTGTTCAGTGCTGCCAGGAAGGCAAGTACGGGGTAATGACTCTGAGGGCTTGTGTGACATCAAGATGGTGTTCAGTTTTGGGTTTAACCATATGGGTAAGCCTTATCCCCTGGACTTGGAATTATGCAATTGGTCACAGGCAAAAGAATATGTGTAGTAGTAATATAATACTAGTCTTGAGGTTTAAAGCATGTGATCTTCTGGCTAGAGGGTAGGGAAACACGTCTGTATTTGTATGAGAGATGGTGGAGCATGTTTTCCAGGTTCTATGTAAGGATTGCTCTAAAATTTTAGCCATGGTCCCAGCCATTGAATAGTATGGGGTGGGCTGCTATAAACAAGGTAAGAGGTCCCTAAGCAGGATATAGAAACATAGTACAGCCTTCATGAATGAGCACCCTTTTCAAATTCTTCACTCAGATGTTCAAGTCTTTACTATCCCAGCAACAGCCCCAATTATCACTCACCTTCCCACTCTAAAAGTCTTCCTATTGCCAACTTCTTGTGCTGAAGAAAGAGAATTGACTCTGAAATAAGATCCTGGGTGAAGTCTATCGTTGTCCCTTGCTTGATAGAAAAATTATCCCCAAGTCTCTGTTTCTGAAGATAAACATTTGGCTTAATCTCCGCCTTGCTGAACTACTGTCACTGTCATGAGGACACAATTACACACACCACAAACCCACCAACATGTGTTCCATGCATTGTAAGAAGTATATGGTCAAAAGGAATTATGACATACTATAAATCTCAGGGAACTTGAGGAAATGCATAATATGTTGGCTAGTTTTATGTCAACTTGACATAGGCTAGAGTCATTTGAGAAGAGAGAACTTCAATTGAGAAAGATTCCCTACTAGATTGGCCCGTGGGCAAGCTAGTGGTGCATTTTCTTGATTGATGATTGATGTGGGAGGGGCCAGATCACTGTGGGTGGTGCCACAGGGCTGGTGATCCAGGATAGTATAAGAAAGCAGGCTGAGAATGGAGAGCAAGCCAGTAAACAGCACTCCTCCATGGCCTTGTCATCAGTCCCTGCCATGCGTGAGTTCTTGCTTTGATGTCCCTGGATGATGGACTACAAGCTGTAAAATAAAATAAACCCTTTCCTCCACAAGTTGCTTTTTGGTCATTGTGTTTTATCACAGCAGTAGGAAAGTAGTTAAGGCAGATAAGTAAAATTCATTGTAAATATTTCTGTATCCCAAATCCCATTAATCCTGGATGATAAAGCTTTGTCACTTGGCAAAGCAGGTAAATTTTCTAACAAGCATAACTCGTTAACTGAACAGTCAGACTGAATAGGGTAAAAGAAGGAGCCAAATTTCTTCTCATCATTGGCCTTTACTATCTTTAGTGATAACTCAGAGTTCATAGTTTTTCAAGTCAATTTTATGTTTTCTTGAAGAAACTATTTTTTAAGTACTCATACAGTTGCCTATTGTGTGTTAAGTATACTGGCCCTCCATCACCCCTGCTCTCCCTCCCCTGCCACCCTTCTCCATTCCCGTTTCTCCCCTTTGTTCCCCTAGACAGTTTCATTTCTACTTTCCCCTCATAAATGTAGACATGACTTTATGCAGCTCTAGAAACTCTAGGAGCAAGAAGCAACAAAAAGCATAGCATCATTCTTTCTGAGACTCGCTTGACCAACTTCAGAGAGGATTATCCACAGTTGCATCCTTTTCATGCAAGCAACTTGATTTCTCCTTCATGGTTGAAACGAATCCATTTTGTGTATACACCATATTTTACACCCATTCCTCTGTCGTGAGACATGTCTGTTGGTTTAATCCTTTAGCTGTTGTGAAGAGTCCTGCAACAAACATAAATGTGCAGGTAGCTCTACAGTACGCTGACTTAGAGTTCGTTGGATAAATACCCAGGAGGGCTACAGCTAGATCACATGGGAGATTTAATTTTTTATTGTCTGAGAAACCTCCACACCGACTTTCGTGGTGGCTGCACTAGTTTATATTCTCTCTCTCTCTCTCTCTCTCTCTCTCTCTCTCTCATATAATAATACAAGATATAATTGTATAATATAATTTCTCATATGTATACCATGCATACTGACCACTCTCAGTCTCTACCTCCTTACCACCCTGTATACTCTCTTACCTCTCTCTCCACAAATCCTTATTTTCATTTCTATCTATTCCTTTTATTTAGGAATCCACCAAGATGAATCAGGGCCATCTGTATGACTGTAGGTTTGGGGCTTATCATTGGAGCATGGTAGGCTTAGGAGAGGGATACCACTAAAGACAGTGACTCCCCCTTTCTCAGAGTCTACTCATAGCTCGTAGTTCAGTGGCAAAGGTAGGGACCCATGAGCCCATCCTCCCTCCTCGGCTGACTATTGATAGGACCATTCTCATTCTGCCTGTGGTTAAAAGGACTCTCAATATAATTTTAATTTGCATTTCTCTGACATTTAATGTCTTATTTTCATTCTTGTTGAAATCAGCTTTAGAGAGAATATATTTATTTGGCTCATAATACCAGGCCATCATTGTGGGCAAGTCTAGGCAGCAGTAACTTGAAACAGTCACATTACTTCCATAGCAAGAGCAGAAAACAGTGAACTAATACATTCATGCTAGTGTTCAGCTGTCTCTCCCTTTCTCACCTGGTCCAAGGTCCAGCTCATGAAATGGTGCCCCCCACATCCACAGTGGATCTTCCTACTTCAATTATTTCAAAGAACATCTGCTGTGGAACAATTCTTTTCGACACTATGAGTATGTATTACTCTCATTGGTTAATAAAAAGCTGACAGGCTGGGCAAAAAGTTAGGTGGGAAAGCAAAACTGAGAATGATGGGAAAAAGGAGGGTGGAGTCAGGAGAGACACAAGCTAGTCACTGAATAAGCAGGACATGTAGAAAATGAGGGTAACAAGCCATGGGCCATGTGGCAAAGCATAAATAGAAATGAGTTAAGTGTAAGAGTTAGCTAGTAACAAACTTGAGCTATCGACTGAGCATTTATAACTAATATTAATCCTCTGGATTAGTTATTCGGGACCGAGCAGTTGGGACAGGGAAATATCCATCTATAAACATCCCTCACAGGCAGGTCCACAGGCCAACCTGATCTAAATAATTCCTCACTGATGCTGCACCGCCCCTCCCCACTCCCCATGATTCTACATTATGTCCAGTCAACAGTCAAAACTAATCCTCACAAGTGGTGAAATTGAAGATTTCCTATGTTTATTGGTCATTTACACTTCATATTTTGAGAACTGTCTGTTAAGTTCATTAGCTCATTTATCGATTGAGTTATTCTATTTATTATTGTTTAGGTTTTTGAGTTCTCTAAATAAGAATGCTTACTAATATCAATCCTCTCTCAAATGTATAGTGAGCCAAAATTCTATCCCATTTTGTAGGTTCTCTTCACTCAGCTGACTGCTTTCTTTTCTGTGCAGAAGCTTTTTAATTTCATGAGGTCTCATTTGTGCTTATCAGTTTCTTGGCCTTTTCGGGGGAGCCTAGAGACCTGTTCAGAACGTCTTCACTTTAGCTTATAGCTTGAAAAGTGTTTGTTTGTCTTTTATCTTTTATTCTAAAAGTTTCAGAGTTTTGTATCTTCCACTTAAGGACTTGTTTTTTATTTTGTGTGCAAGGTGAGAGATATGAATCTAGTATTCTTCTTCTCCATGTAGACATTCAGTTCTCCTAGCACTCTTAGTTAAAGTGGCTGCCTTTTCTCCAATGTGTGTTTTTGACAACTTTGTCAAATGTCAGGTCACTTTAGCTACTTAAATTTATGTATGGGTCCTCTATTCCATTCCATTGATCTAAATTCCATTTTGTACCACCGTGCTGTTTTTGTTACAACAGCTCTGTGATATAATTTAGAATAAGGCATAGTGATACTTAACAGCATTTCTCCTCTTTTTGGTAAGGATCACTTTAGCTTTTTGGAGCTTTTGTTTTTCAGTATGAATTTTAGGATTATTTTTCTAGCTCTGTGAAGAACATTACTGGAATTTGATGGGGATTAGAGTGAATCTGTAGATGACTTTCAATAATGTCGCTACTTTCACACTATTAATTCTGCTTATCCATGAGCTTAGAAGATCTTCTAACATCTTCCTTGGTTTACTCAGTATCTTAAAGTTTTCACTGTAGGTACTTTTCACCCCCTTAGTTAGACTTATTTATAGGCATTTTTTGAAGCTATTGTGAATGTTATCTTCAAAGTCATTTTTAAAGCACAGAAAATTCTAGCAAGCAGCAGAAAGCTTGTTTGTTTTCTAGGAGTAGTGAGGAAGTAATTCAGTGTCTTTTTTCCCCTCTACAGTGTTTCATTCTTTGCCACTTTCTATATACACAAAAATAAGGTAAGATATCTCCACACAAGCCATTCACCTTGAAGAATCCTCAGCACTGTAGCATTCATGTTTCATCTGTTTCCCTCCATCAAAACCACAAATATTTTATTATTATTATTGTTTTTCTGGAATGTCTTAAACACATTGATATCATTTATCTGCAAATGTGAAGTGATGGCTTCCAGCCACTAGGGCTCAGGCCAAGTTTGAACCCAAACAGCAGACAACAGAAGAGATAAGAACAAGCACCAGCTATGCCCAGGAGTGGCAGGCAGCCTTGTGCATGTGAAGGGCTTAATTCTCTGTAGAGGATGAATTCTGCTACGTTTGACATCACTGCACCTTCTCCCCATCTGCCGAAAAGTTTCTTTTAAAGTTAAGGGCTTCTGTAACACTCAAATCAATTGCTATGGTAGATTTATCTGTTTTTCATCTGCTAAATTTCTCTTTGGCCATTGATTCTGTCTTTCAAACATAGTGTACATGCTCACTAATGACCAAGGACCTGGAGGGGTGGGTAGAAACGTCTCTCAAGAGACTTCCAAGATGGTGGAAAGAAGAAAATAAGACAAATGCCCCTAGAACCCAAACTCAAAGAATGAACAACTCAAAAGGACACATAGCCTTGCAAGGTTGACTCAAAGCCTTCTCTTGCATTCACAATTGCCTTCCTTGGTCAGAAGAGAAATTTCTAGAATCATGACTCTTAAATTAAATGCATAGCTTAAGTTGGAACACAAGTATTGGCAGTGTTTTTGGATGATTCAATTTTGCATGAGGATCAGAGCAGACCATCATGAAGGGCCCGGGTCTAGGGATCTGCACACAGCAAATTTCCCAGCTGTGATTCTTAAGACTCAGGCCACCTTTGGGAACCAATGCAGACAGTCAAACCATGAGTCAGAGTCTTTCAGTTTCAAAGTTCTTTCCTCAAGTATTCATAAAAATGCAGCTGGGGTGAATGGACTGAAACCTCCTGAGCCTCGAAGGGTCTGGCAATTTATCATTCAACAAGGCTTTCCTCCAACTCAATTCAGCTGTTTTCTCTTTGTTCGTAATAGAGTGTTTAGGGCAGTCTGTGGTTTCAGGTTATCTCCTTCCTCTGCCAAATTATACTCCCAAATGCATCAATATCTTCCGGGGAATCATAGCCATTGACAGAAGAAATTATTTGCCTTCTTGGAGGATCACACAGCGTGGTCTGAAATGGAGAGACATTTTTATTAGATATAGAGGCAGAAATATTATAGTTGGTGGCTACATAACGCAACAGAGTGACTGTCTCCAAGACTGTGTCTATTGGTCTCAGGACAGTAGGAAGGAGACAGTCCGGGAACAGGGCCTACTGCAAGAAGGGACTAGATGGCATTTTTATAGGCATTTCCTTGAAATCCAAAGATTGCTGTAGTGCCATTTATTTCATAATGACAATGTAACTTATATCTTATAGCACATATAGGAAATAACAAAGATAATATGATCTAGGACTTGTCTTGAGAAAAAAATGTGGAGTCAGTAAATTACATTTGCTTCATCTATGTATCTTCATTAAAGGTTCAGGGAATGTGATCCTGCACTAGCCATAGTGAGATGCTTGAAGGGCATAAATTCTTGCCAACATGTAAAGGAGCTCATGCAACCCATAATATAACAGCACTTAACACACCTCATCAAAAGGGAATAGCAGAGTAACATGTGACTGATTATGCATACTCTTGTCAATAGGGTCTTGATTCCATTCATTAATTTAGTAAGTGTTTATTGTGTACCAGGTACTGAGCTACATCTTCAAACTACCCAACACCCATGGTTATTAATGATAAGACTTGTAATAGTAGTTTCTCATAATAAAGTGTCTGTGAGATTGACTGAGCCTGATCATAAACTGAGAAGTATATATAGTTTATCGTACCTAGTGATAAGCAATACACTGCAAAGATACCCAAGGGGTTCTAATACGAGTATCATCTTATAAATGCTCACAATTTAAGGTAAAGAGACTCTTTCCGGTTAACAAGTCATCCTATTCCTTGAAGCCTTGAGTTTCTGTGTGAGATGTGGTCACCAGTGAATTGTTTGTTCTAGGACTTGGATGTCATCAGTGACACAACAGGAGAACTAATATAAAAACAGAACCTCAGTTATTGCCTTCTATCGTAAGTCATGTATTCGCAATCCACAGAACCACTGCATCTTGTTTCTCCTATTCAGTGAGAATTTTTCATTCCTCTTCTGTTGGTGCCGTTGAAGACACCAGTTAATATTGCTGGTGGCAAAGGAAAGATCTGGAAAGTGGGATGCAGCAATGACTTGCCCTGCGTCTGTGAACACTGTTCCACAGCTTACTCTTGTCTCTTTAACTCCTGGCAACCTCAGACATGTTAGTAGCAGCTTCTATATTCCCACAATTCCATCTGAAGCATGAGAATAGGAAATAAGGTCCATAAACTTCCATTATCATATCACTAAGTATATCTCCTTCCTCGAGTCTCTCTTGATCATTAGGTCAGCACTCTAAGAAGCACCTTTTGTTTTCCTGGATTAGATGACTCTTGTTATTTAGAAATTTTTTGTCTTTCTCTTTCTTTTCTTTTATATGGAAATGATTAAAAACAAACCCAGATCAACCAATGAAAAGTAGTCAACCCCTCTCCATGCTGACGACAGAGTTTTCCCTCAGTGACTATAACTCACTTTCCTGACCTGGAGCTCTACCCACCCACCACAGAGCTGTGACCACAATCCCACCTGCCCACTGAAGGGTCTGTGTGAAGGGGCCTGGTTCTCCCTACCCCAGTCCACATCTCCTCCCACTAGGTGTACAAGGACTTCCACAAAAGTCTAAGCCAATAAATGCAATTTACAATGTAGATCTGTAAGTATTTCAGTAGGTTTCTAGAGGTATAATTAATATAAAATAAAGGTGGGCATGGTGCCAAAACCCTGTAATCCTAGCTATTCAGGAAACTGAGACAGAAGAATCGTAAGTTCAAGACAAATCTGGGGAACTTAGTGAGACCCTCTTTCAAAATTAAAAATTTTTAAATGACTCTAGACATAGCATAGAGAAATTTCCTGGCATGTGTAAAGCTCTAGGTTCAATCCTCAGTATGACAAACAAAAATATATTTTTAGAGAAAAAAATTGGTTATTTAAAATATGACATGTAAGTTTTGGCAAATACATTAATCCCTCTGAACCTCACTATAATCAAAACATTGAATGTATTTACCTCTTTCAAAAGTTACCCCTGGGTAGCCTCTCTTGCCCTCTCTCTCATTCTTGCCCACCTACCTGCTCTGCAGATAATTATCTATGTGCTTTCTGCCATGTAGATGATTTGGAACTCTCAAGAGCAGAGTTGATGTAAAAAGAACCACACAGTATGTTCCCTCTTTCCTTTCTTTTCCCCTCCTATTCTTCTTGCTCCTTCTTTTCCCTAGTTTATCTTACCAGAGTTATTTTTGAGATTTTCCTAAGTTGTATGTATAAATAAAATGTCCTTCTGAGTGATACCACATTGGAGATAAAGTCAGGGCCATAGAAGAGGCCAGAGAAGAGACAGTAGACAAACTCTTCTTCATTCACAAAGAAGCATACAAAGTATTTCACACTCTCTGGATGTGACGCTCAGTTTTGCATGCTTCCTGTTACTCATTTAAATCCATGGAGTTGCTGTCAATAAAAAATAAATACATGCCCCCATAGTCAAGAAAAGGCCAACTGGTATTCTCTATTTTAAAAGGCGTGGAAATGCAGATACTTCTTCCAAGCTAACTAGAATCATTTTGAACTTGGAGCCCACAGAAGATAGCCTCAGCTACCTGGAGAACTTGGCTTGCCAGATGATTCTTTCCCAAGAGTTCTGAGTAGCCAAGGCTCTGTCGGGCTTTACATGTGGGATTTCCTTTCATCTCCAGGAGGGGAGGATCCTTCCTGTCACTCACGGGATAAACAGCTCCTCTCAGAGAAACATGCTGAGCCCTTGCTGTGTCCCAAGCCAGAGCAGGCAGGTAGATGAGGCTCTGGGCTTTCAAAGCATCTCTGCAAGCTTAATAGGGCGATAATGAGGAGAAAATGGCTTAATCTGTGTTTTGGCTTCCTTCTTGCCAAGCTGGTTGGAATGAGGGAGGTTGTAACTTTGGAAAACCTAGTCATAAAATAGGTTTTTAACATGGCTGGTTTTTGGCAGAGGTAAAGAGACCCTAAAGGAGCAAGTGTCTGCCAGCATTCACTTCGAAAATGCACCAATTAATTAGAAAAGTGGGGGACAGCAAAGGAGATAAACATACACCACCTGGACAGAACACTTTTGTATTACCTTTTTTGTAAGGAAGACAAATTTCAAAGAAGTGAATCCAAAGGAAACAAAAAGATATTTGAACTGGGAAAATATCCTCTGGGCAGTAGCCTACCAGAATATAAAAGGTGAGGGAGTGAGCTGGAAGAAAGGAGTTTTCCAGGGCAAGCAGCAGGAATCCTTATTAACATCAGCCTGTCATGGTTAATAATCCTGCGCTGGGCAGGAGGCTGGACCTGATAATCTCCAAGGGCCCCTTCTCACTCTGAGATTCCAAGATGCTGATATTTATAGCTCAATATTCAGAACCTATAAATTGACTACTCTCCAAAGGTACGCCTTATAATGTCTCTTTTATTTCACCAGCTTTCCCTCTGGATCTTGCCTCCTTCCCTCTGTTACCTTCTGGCCAACAGAGCGGGAAGAGTACATTCATAGACTGCCGAGTAACATCTGGAGGATATGTGCTGGCCTCCAGCCCTAGACAGATGTTCTGGGACTGTTCCTTTGGCCCCATATTTCACACGGAAATGTAACAATAAGTGTCTATGATGGCTCCCAGTATCCTCACCAGCACATCTAAATCCACTGCCTGGAATTCAGCATCCTTCAGCTGGCCTCTACTTACTATGTATATACTCCAAATGTCTGGAGGCTAGGCCAGTTGATTGGCTGCCAAGCATTAACTGAGCCAGGTATAAAGAGTCTCCAAGGAAAGTAGACCACATCTCTACATCAAGAAATGCATAGCCTGGCTTTTTCTTTTAAGTTCACATTGGAAAAGCATACATTTAAGAGAGTAAAACAGCAAACCACCCTTTGACCATGGAACTGTGTACTAGGTTGTATGCATTTAGCTGGAAGTAGTGTAAGGGTTCAGAACAGAAATCCTGAAGAGACAGAAGGATCAAGAGGACCTTCAACTATGAGCGCTTGCACTGGACTGTAAAGAATAGCACCAAACAGAGATGAGCAATTCAAGAAAAATACGGAAGATGACAAGAGACAAGGAGAGACAGACTTGTTTACAAACTGACTCATGCCAATTATTTAGTTATTCTGGGTAGGCCCAATGTCAGAAGAAGAGAAGCTGACAGATCTGATTTCCAAATTATAACTTGCCAGGTGGCCAGGGTTCCAGTCTTTGGTGCACACACAAGTTTATTATTAGGCAGGTATGAGGGAAACCATACAAAATATTAGAAGCAACAAGAGTCCTGGCCTATTTCTTGAAGGAAAATATACCCTGAGGCAAATGCAGCAGTGGCCTTGTGGCAAAATTTGAGAAGTCTATCATAAAATAAGAAACTGGATCCAGTTAGGTTAACTCTAAGGACAGCATTTCAAGGTAAATAGGAAACTTATCTCACTGGAGCCTTAGACCAGATTTCACTGTCTGTACTGTACTGCAAGCCAGTCCTTGTATGATGCTAGAGAATAGAATGACTAGCCTCATCATCTCCCTTGTTAGCTATTTCAGAATTTCTTCTCAAACACAGGCCCCAAGGATGGGCACAAAAGAGGCAGGTCATCCCTTAAACTGAATAGATAAATGAATGCAATTGTTGTTAGTTTGTTTTTCCAATATAATACTTCAGGCATCCCTCCCTTTTATTGGTTCACTGAGTATCTATGAATTAAGTTTCTACAACTTTCTAAGCATTGTTAGGTCAGCTGTAACAAAAAATATAGTGGGAGCTGAAGCACAGTTGTTGATATTTTATTTGCCAGTTCTATGTTAGTGAACTTTTTTTCTACTCAGTAAAATGTACTTGCAACCCATTTGCCGACATGTGCACAGTGTGAGAAATGTGAGTTGCCAAATGTTCAGATTTCCAGGTGCGGCCTAACAAGCAAGCAGCACCTATTGCTGTCCATTGGAAACACGTGTTTTTCTTCAT